CTCTTCCTGCCTGGCTATTGGCCGTTCAGCTCTTTGTTAAACCAGTCCCAATGACATGTCCTCACACAGTGTAAAGGAATCTTCCACAACAGTGTATGGCAGGTCTGTCTTCTGCCATTTCTGTGTCTCCAGTCTACTGTATGAGAACATGGCAGTCTCTTTGTGCTCTCTGCTGCTAACATGTAAGATGTCTTAGGATTTACCTGTTATAAAGAGTAGCTCAGTAGTTCCTAGATTCTGGTAACACACAGACAAGATGGTTGATTTCTACTTCAAATCCACAGCCTTGTATTAAAAATACCTAAGGTGTGTGAGTTCAAGGCCAGCCTGGTCTACAGAGTGAAATCCAGGACAGGCACCAAAACAACACAGAGAAACCCTGTCGATTTTCGCCAAGCAGTGGTGGCACATGCCTTTAATTCCAGCATTCAGGAGGCAGAGGCAGGTGGATCTCTCTGAGTTCGAGGCCAGCCTGGGCTACAGAATGAGTTCCAGGACAGGCTCCAAAGCTACGCAGAGAAACCCTGTCTCAGAAAACAACAACGACAAAAATACCTAAGGTGGGTGCTGTTTTCTGAATGGTTCTTACGCCAATTCCAAATCAATGTCTCCCTAAGTTTCTAATGATTGGACTCACGCATTAATCATGAAGGAGAACTAACTAAAAGCACAAATTTCAGGGTCTCAAAGCCAAGCCTCGCAAATCAGACAACGCAGGGAACATATAGAGGACTTTAAAAAAAAAAAAAACACTGGTATTTTGCCTGCCTCTGTGTGTGTGTGTGTGTGTGTGTGTGTGTGTGTGTGTGTGTGTGTGTGTGTGTGTGTTTGTGTATGAGGCTGTTGAATCCCCTGGAACTGGAGTTAAAGACAGTTGTGATCTGCCATGTGGGTGCTGGGAATTGAACCTGGGTCCTCTGGAAGAGCAGTCAGTGCTCTTAACCACTGAGCCATCTCTCCAGACCATGAGGCCTTTTTTTTTTCTCTCTCTCTTTAAGTACCCTAATTAACTCCATGCCCCAAGAAGTTTAGGAAATGCCACCTTTCTTACACCCATGTTATATTCACTGCTATCTTTTCTGAAATTTTATTTCATCTATTAACTCACTTCTGAGCATGTGCTAACCATTGGTCTCTACTAAACTGGTCTCCAACCAGCTGTTTAGCCCAGGCTGGTTGCAAACTCAAAGCCCTCCTGCCCTAACGCCCCAAGTGCTGAGGCTGAAGGACTGTGCTTCCACACCAGGCTTTTGGACTCTCTTTCTTGTCCCTTCTCTCTCTTCTTTCCTTTGGAAAGGTCCCCTTTATCGCAGGCTGGCTGCGAACTCACAGCTGAGGACGACCTTGAACTCACGCGTTTCCTGATTCCACCTCCCAAGTTCTGTGATTACAGACGTTTCCCACCAAACCCTGTTTATGTGGTGCTGGGTTCAAGCTAGGCTTCACACATGCTAGGCAAGTTCTCTGCCAACTGAGCCACATCTCAGCCCATGGCCTGTTTTCTTTATTCCCATCAACTGGTCTTTAAAATGTCTGTGTCTGCTGCCTCAGTTTCCCTGACTTCTACTCAGTCACCTGCCTTACCTTCATTACTCTCATCAGCTCCACTAAGCTTCTAGAAGGTTCCCTACTTTGACTTCTCCATGCCTTTCACTCTCTTTCACATTTTGGCAGCTTATGCCTTTACTGTCTCTTGCCCTGGTTTTGGGGGTAATTTCTACTTCAGATCCTTACCTTTCTTGTCCATTCACTCTCCTGTGTCCTACTTCAAAAAAAATCACACACACACACACACACACACACACACACAGACACACACACACAGTGTATGACTATGATCGATAATGTGTGAGTGTGGAAATGCATGTCCCTCGATGCTTGCGGTCTGAGGACAAGCTTTGGGAGTCGGCTCTCCTCCTCCTATGCTTTAATGCAGGATTTCTCCTGTTTCTGATGTGCTGCGTACTTCAAGGCTAGCTGGCCCATGAGCCTGCAAGCTTCCAGGCCACACTAGGAGTGCAGGATTTCTCCTGTTTCTGATGTGCTGCATACTTCAGGCTAGCTCACCCATAACCCGCAAGTTTCCAGACTGCTCTAGGAGTGCTGGCCACACTTGGGTAGCAGACGTATACCCAGCTTTTCTCTGTAGGATCTGGGGACTCAGCCTGGGTCATCAGGCTTGCACAGCAAAGGTTTTTTTTTTTTTTTTTTTTTTTTTTTTTTTTTTGGTTTTTCGAGACAGGGTTTCTCTGTGTAGCTTTGCGCCTTTCCTGGAACTCACTTGGTAGCCCAGGCTGGCCTCGAACTCACAGAGATCCGCCTGGCTCTGCCTCCCGAGTGCTGGGATTAAAGGCGTGCGCCACCACCGCCCGGCTCACAGCAAAGGTTTTTTACCCGCTGAGCAATTTCACTCACCCGCTTCTTCCTACTTCTCCTTTGCTATCTTACAAATCCGGCTATCCTCAGGGTTCTCTTCCTGGGGTTTTCCCTTTCCTCACTGATGTAGACCACTAGCTAATATAGACGACTAGCTTAGGAGCATACCCCTGAAAGAGGGAAGTCTGGAGTACGATTGTCCGTCCAGCAGGCATTCTTTTCATGCTGTCCTCTGACTCTGATTCTCCCTACAGTAACTGACAGTGGGTCACCATTGTGAGTAGAAATGGGAGGTCTGTACCCAGCACACTGAGGCTTGGAAGCAAGTTTTAAATTTTGCTGATCAAATTCGACTCTGAGGAGATGTCCATCCTCCTCCTGGGATAAATGTCATTAATCCACCCAAGTGATTATATATCACTCCTGAGACACATTCTGACAAGAGCATGGATAGAGCTGGGTGTGGAAGTGCACACCTGTCTAATCCCAGCACTTGCGAGGCAGAGGCAGGAGAATACCTGCAAGTTCTAGGCTAGCCTGATCTACATAGTATGTTCCAGGCCGGCCAGGGCTGCATAGCGAGACCCTGTCTCAAGCATGCAAGCAAGCAAACAAAGCATGGCTGGCAGTCTAGTCACCATGGAGACATCATAGAGCGTCCTTATGCAATGTAAGAGAGCTGCAACATACCAGGCAGCGTTGTTTGTGGAACCACTTTTGTGAATGTAGTCCATTCCTGACCAAAAAACATTGGTATGTAACACATGATTGTAACATGTGATTCCGACTCTCTCTCTCTCTAGAACCCCAAGTCTACAGATTAACTTCTTTTGGTTTTTGGTTTTGGTTTTTTTCAAGACGGGGTTTCTCTTCGTAGTTTTGGTGCCTGTCCTGGGTCTCGCTCTGTAGATCAGGCTGACCTTGAACTCACAGAGTTCTGCCTGGCTCTGCCTCCCCAGTGCTGGGATTAAAGACGTGCGCCACCACCACCCAGCACAGATTAACTTCTTACACCCTCTCTTTTTGGGTGTTTCATCCACACTTCAGATTCAACCCAATCAAACATAGAATAATTGCATTTCGTCTCAAGCCTGCCCTTCCCTGGCATTCCTTGCTCTGTCATCCATGTGATCCCTCCCCATCTCTGCTCCACCATGTCTGGGTGAGGCTCTGACCTCCTCCTTACAACTGCAGTTCTGGTCAGGCCATCCCTATTGCATTCCCACACCACGACAATTAGCTGTGGTGTGTGGAGGATGCACAAGGGGTGCCAGGGATTTGAACCCAGGCTGTCTCACTTTAACAGCAAATGCTCTTAGCCACTGAACCATCTCCTTGGCCCCTGCAAATAGCTCTTTATCCAGTTCTTCAGACCTACTCTCGCCTCTCTGCACATCAGAAGGGCAAACTGCAATCCTTGTTTGCCATTGACTTTCCTTCCTGACAATAGCTCTAAATGTCAGTCAGCCCTGCGCTCACAAGGCATGAGTCGTCATGGCAACAGAATAGGCCCAAACTCATGCCACCATATGACCCAGTTCCTGTCTTACAGTTTTCCCGCCCCCAGCTTCTTCCATGATACTTACAGTCATCCTGACTCAGTGGGATGGCAAGCCTCCACATTCTCACACTTTTTTTTCTCCTTCTTGGTAGCCTATCTGTCTTTGCCAAAGGAAACTGCATGATTCTCAAGTCCCATTTCCAATGTCTCATTGGTTAATCCCACATCACTCTCTACCCATGGTTAATGACACTCTGCTTAGATCCAACTTACTTGTCTGTACCTCGGATGGCCTTTGCATAAACAGCTGACAGCTTGGCTTGAAGGAGGCTGTGGGCAGCGTGATCGTGCAGAGTGTCCTGTCCAATGGCGGAACTGTACATCTCAGCAGCTAGCGTGGTGCCTTTTGCCTCTGGGGTTTTTACCTTTCTCTATTTCTGTACATTTTTTCTTTCCTTCTTAGCCCATGTCTGGCTGTGTGACTGGGTGGCTGGCCCCTTCTTTTCTTGCTCCTTGATTCTTCTCCTTTCAGATTTCTCCTACTTTTTATTCTCTCTACCTGCCAGCCCTGCCTATCCTATCTCCTGATTTGATACTGGCCGTTCAGTTCTTTATTAGTCCAGTCAGGTGTTTTAGACAGGCAAAGTAACACAGCTTCACAGAGTTAAACAAATGCAACATAAAAGAATGCAACACATCTTTGCATCATTAAAATAAACATTCCACAACATAAACAAATATAACACAAAAGAATATTCCACGATAACATTGGGTTATTATTATTGCTTGCTACAAGCCGCAAAAATATATGAAGTGGGATTTCAGCTGACTATGACAAGCTAATACCTAGAAGAAGCCAAGGGCCTTCTAGAAGTCAAGCTGAGGCTCAAGGAGTCTTGGTGATATTGGCTTTTGATTATTAGCTGTTTCCTGCTATGAATTTCTCGTGTTTTTGTAGCTTTTCCATCATTTATTGGGCACCATCTCCCCTCTAATAAAGAAATATTTCGATAACCTTCTGTACAGTAACGCAGCCTGGATCCCTAATTTCAGGCCTTTCTGTCATTATCGTCATTAGCAGCATCTGGCCAGGACCATCCCCAGATGGATGAAAGTATCTTACCTGAGATACTTCACAGATTCTCGAAGAACAGACGTAAGCATCCAGACTATCTATTTGAGAAGGCCTGGCAGATGTGCTAGTTAAGCTTAACTTTCTCCTTTCCAAAGTCTTATCTCCAGTTTTAGAACCACCCTTAACAATTAACTCAGAACTAAATTCCAACTTACAGGTACATCTAGCTGTGAGGGAAGTTGCCTAGCCAAGTTGCCTAGCAACAGAGCACACTTACCAGAAACAGCGGGAACAGAGACAGCTTGGAGAGATAAGGACCAAAGGGATAAAAGGCAGTTTTATTTTCAGAGGAAGAGATGGAGAAGAGAAAAGAGAATGGAAGAACTAGATGGGTGAGAACTGGAGAGGAATGAACTAGGTGGGGAAGAACTAGATTGAAGGGCTAGAAGAGAGGACTAGAGGAACGAGATGGAAGATGAGGAAGAGCCAGATGGGGAAGAACAAGATGAGGAAGAAGGAGATGGGAGAGGAGCTAAGATGGGAAAGAACTAGATGGATGGGAGCCTAGATGGGGCAGAACTAGGATGAGAGAATTAAGACAGAATTTAGAGGGATCAGCAGATAAATGTAGAGAGAAATCAGGCAAGAAAGGAGCTAGGCATGAGAGCAGAACAGAAGCTGTATAGAGAGAGAACTGACACAGACTAATAAAGTGTATGGACTAAGGAGTTTCGTGTATGTAGATTCATTTTTTTTTTTTATTTTGCAGTACAATTCAGTTCTACATATCAGCCACGGATTCCCTTGTTCTCCCCCCTCCAGCCCCCCTCACCTTCCCCCCAGCCCACCCGTAGATTCATTTCTTATCAACAAAGACTAGATTATCAGCTGGTTGTAGATTCTTCCCAAACCCTGGGAGAAGACTATGGAGAAGCTGGGCCCCAATAGTCCCCGTTAAATGCTTAAAATTTCTTTCTCAGGGCTGGAGAGATGACTCAGTGGTTAAGAGCACTGGCTGCTCTTCCAGAGATATTGTGGAATATTTGTTTAACTAGGCAAAGATTATGTTGCCAAATATTACTTTAACTATGTAAAGATGTGTTACTTTTGCTTATGCTGCATTTGTTTAATGATGTAAAAATGTGTTGCTTTGCCTGCAAAAGGCACCATTGGCTTAATAAAAAGCTGAATGGCCAATAGCTAGGCAGTGGAGGGATCAGTGGGGCTGGTGGGCAGAGAGGATAAGGGGGAGAAGGAATCTAGGCTTGAGAGAATGAGAAGAGACAATGAGGGAGATGCCTGGAGCCAGCCAGCCAGGCAGCTTCCAGACAGACATGGAATAGGGCATACAGAAGGAAAGAAAGGTAAAAAGCCTGGAGGCAGAACATAGATTGTTATGGAATATTCCTTTACACTGTGTGAAAATGTGTCACTGTGATTGGTTTAATAAAGAGCCAAGTGGCCAATATCCAGGCAGGAAGAGGTTAGGCGGGACTTTTGGGGACAGAGAAGGGGAAGAAAGGCGGGGGTCGCCAATCAGACCAGAGAAAGCAGCATAAGTATGTAGAGATGAGGTAAGAAGTCATGTGACAGGATGTAGATTAAAATAAATGGGTTAATTTAAGTTATAAGAGCTAGTGGGACAAGCCTAAGCTAAGGCCAAGTTTTCATAATTAATAATAAGTCTCTGTGCTGTTATTCGGGGACTGGCAGTATAGAGAAAGACTTGCTACAGTAGATGAAGAGAAACAGGTTAAAATAAGTTATAAGAGCTGGTGGGACAAGCATAAGATAAGGCCGAGCATTAATAATTAATAGGTCCCCGAGTCTTGATTTGGGAGCTGGTTGGTGGCCAAAACAAAGCCTGTTACACAGAAGGACCCGGGTTCAATTCCCAGCACCCACATGGCAGCTCACCACTGTCTGTAATTGCAGCTCCAGGAGTCCTGACACCTTCACACAGACCCACACGCAGGCAAAAACAGCAATGCACATTAAAAAAAAAAAAAAATTCTTTCTCCTAAGTCTGACAGTCTCCTTAAAAAACAGGGTCGCTCACTGTACCTACCTCACAAGTATTCGACATGGTGACATTTCAGACGAGCTATTATGTTTCTTTCCAGCTATATACCGTCAGAAGGACATGGCTCAGTCTCTAGGGTAACCCGCGGGGCCCACACACCACAAGCCAACCAGTCCATGTCTACTTTAACCACACATTAGGCTCATTTGAGGAAGCTGTCCAGAGAACATAAACCACAGCCTTTGGGGAAGGGAGTCTCCACTGTATTTTTAAAATCCTCTTGATGATTGTAATACACATCCAGAGTCCAGAAGACTGCTGGTCATGACATACACCTGCGACCCTAGCATTTGAGAGGCAGAGAGGGGAGAACTGTGAACGTTCAGGACGTAGCAAGCAAGACCCTGCTGCATCAACTCGCACTGCCCTGCCCACCCCCACCAACCCTAACCCATTTACAGTGTTAGTCACTTTGTTTTGTTTTCATGTTTTTCAGCAACATGTCATAGAGGTTCCTCCCTATTTCAATATATAAGAATGGGCTCTTTGAACAGCTGCAAAATATCCAAGTGGACGGATATAACTTGAGGGGTCCACGGTCTTTAGTGGTACTTGATAATCCTGTTCGTACAAATGCTGCTGAAACAAATGCTCACTAGATAGTTGTGCGAGCTGGCTTTGGCCTTTTGACACAAGCCAGGGTCACCTGGGAAGAGGAACGTTAGTTGAGAAAATGCCTCCATCAGATGGACCTGTAGGCAAGCCTGTGGGCTGTCATCTTGAACACGGATGACGATTGATGTGAGAGGGCCCAGCCCACTGCAGGCGGTGCCACCCCTGGGCAGGTGGTCTTGGGTTGTACAAGAAAGCAAGGCGAGCAAGCCATGCATGGGAAGCAAGCCTGTAAGCAATGTTCCAGGTTGCTGTCCTGCCTTGGTTTCCTTAAATGATTTGGACTGTGTCTAGGGCAGGTAAGCCAAATAAAACCCTTTCCTCGCCGGGCAGTGGTGGCGCACGCCTTTAATCCCAGCACTCGGGAGGCAGAAGAATCAGGTGGATCTTTGTGAGTTCAAGGCCAGCCTGGTCTCCAAAGCGAGTTCCAGGAAAGGCGCAAAGCTACACAGAGAAACCCTGTTTCGAAAAAACAAAAACAAAAAAACAAAAAAAAAACAAAAAACAAAAAAATCCAAAACCCTTTCCTTCAGAGTTACTTTGGGCATGGTCTTCATCACAGTAATAGAAAGCGGACTAGAACCGGACAGTTGTGGCACGTGCCTTTAATCCCAGCACTCGGGAGTTAGAGACAGGCAAATCTCTCTGTGAGTTCGAGGCCAGCCTGATCTACAAAGCAAGTTCCAGGACAGCCAGGACTGTAACACAGAGAAACCCTGTCCAAAAAAAAAAAAAAAAAAGAAAAAGAGAAAGAAAGAAAGAAAGAAGGTAAGGAAATAGACTAGGACAATTGTTTTGCACAAACGTATATGTGCCTATAAGATAAAGTCCTACAGGTACACTTAAGAAATGAGAATACGCCAGGCGGTGGTGGCACACGCCTTTAATCCCAGCAATTGGGAGGCAGAGCCAGGTGGATCTTTGTGAGTTCGAGGCCAGCCTGGTCTCCAAAAGTGAGTTCCAGGAAAGGCACAAAGCTACACAAAGAAACCCTGTTTCAAAAACAAAACAAAACAAAGAAAACCAACCAAACAAACAAAAAAGAAATAAAAATACTTGTAGTTTCAATAAATATATTTAATTTGCTATTTGTAGTTATGATAAGTATTTGATAGTTATTACTAAGCTGCCCTGTGAGGACTTAGTATTAATACAAGTTTGGGAAAGATTTTTTTTTGGAAAGGGAAAATGTGGTTACATATTAGAGACACATGTACTAGGCCACAGTTCCTGTACTTGGGTCTAAATTTCAAAAAGTGAGTAGAGAATGCAAACACGGATCATCCATTGTAGCCAAGGCTCCCAGCGTCCTTCTCCATAGCAATCTTTGGCTGGAAGTTCCCAGTGCCTCTCCTGACAACCAGGATTCTTGTTCTTTCTGGTCACTGTTCACAAAAAGACAGCCTTCTGTGTTCTCTGCTGTGGTTCAGGAGGAAGAAGAAGCCACATTTTGAAGCCCTTTGTAGACATATCCAGACTAGAAGCATTGTTTTAGAAGCCAGGCCAAAGGCGAGCGGCGTGCAGGGGGGACTTGGAGGCTTCTGCCTCTGGAGGAGCTTTTCATCTGTGAAGACAAGAACCAAAGAGTGGAAACTTTAGACACAATTATGTTCTCTAAGATGGGAAGAACTTTCCAGCCCTGGAGAATCTTTACTTTGAGGCTCCGCCAGGAGCTGAAGACAATGCAATCAAGCATTGGATTGGAAACACACTCTTCTACAAAGGCGAAGGATTCTTGAAGCAAAAAAAAAAACAAACAAAAAAACAAAGACCCAGACACTCTATGGGGAGGACTTTGCTTTTACGTAGTGGGAGACTTTACTGTACAACTTTCTGTTCTGCTTCTTTTTTAAATCCTTGGTCTTCCTCTGAGTCTGAAAGACGGAAGTAGAAACAAAGATAGACACATGGAGCTACAGAGGGAAGCCGAATTCTATCTTTCTCTCTCCCCGCTCTCTCTCTCTCAGGGGTTTTTGTTGTTGTTGTTGTAGGGGGATCTTTGCACAAATCCTAATTGGTCTTAATAAAAACCTGGAGCCGGATATCAGGGTGAAAACTGAAAGATCAGAGAAACAGAGCAAGCCACAGCCACCACCTCTTACCTCACCAACTCCTCAGTCTGAAGAAAAAGAAAAAAACCCAAAAAACCAAAAAACAGAGTTCCTGTCTCCTCCCACCTTATATTTCTCTCTCTGTCCAGCCATATCCCTTCCTGTCTCCACCTCCCTAGTGCTAAGATTAAAAGCCTGTAACTCCCAAGTGCTGGAATTAAAGGTGTGTGCCACCACTGCCTGGCTCTGTTTCTCTTTTAGACTGGATTAATCTCTGTGGCCTTGAACTCACAGAGATCCAGACAGATCTCTGCCTCCGGAGTGCCAGGATTAGAGGTGTGTGCCGCCACTGCCTGACCTCTATGGCTAACTAACTCTGTGGCTGGCTCTGTCCTCTGATCTTCAGGCAAGCTTTATTTCCTAGATTACAAACACTATATCACCACAGGGGATTGTTGTTTTGTTTGTTGGATTTGCTTTGTGTTTTGGTTTGCTGAGATATGACTTTGTTGATCCCTTATTGGTGGGAACTCATTGTGGAGGCCACACTGGCCTCGAACTCACAGCAAAACTCTTGCTTTAGCTTCCCAAATACTGAGATTATACATGTGCATACCCCATTTTGGCCAGATTTTCTTTTGACTATGGCATGATTTTGTTGTTGTTGTTTTGTTTTTGCTTTATTTCTTTGCTGTCTATCTGGTATTTTGTTTGTTTGTTTGTTTGTTTGAGATGAGGCCTCACTACTGTGTAGCCCTGGATGACCTGGAACATCCTATATAGACCAGGCCGACCTCAAACAGAGATCCGGATCTTCCTGCTTCCGCTTCCTGAGTGTTGTGACTAAAAGTATGACAATGGCACATTTTTATAAAAGCTGTCAGGACTTCCTGAGAGAAACAAACCATTTAAAAAAAAAAAAAAGAAAAAAGAAAAGATGATTGTCATGCATGGTGAGTTCTCAGAGATTTCCCTATTTCTTGGAGAAATTCAAGCATCTGTCTTTGAGTAGTCTGTCAGTTGAATGTCTTTGAGAGAAGACAAAGTAGGAGACTCCCAAGAGGGAGTCAGAAGTGGTCATTTATTTTTCAGTACCATGAGCGGCTTGTGGACTTAAGAGCTCCAAAGAGTGCTGCAGGCTTGGAAAGTGCTCCTAGGCTTCTAGGCCTGAAGAGTGCTTGCCTGGCATGGATCCCATACACACCCCAGCATGCACATGGAGCCCAGAGGACAAACTGAGAAATTCAATTCTCTCGGTCCTCCACGAGGGTCTCCAGGCTCAAACTCAAAGTCTTCAGGCTTTGCAGCAAGCACTTAACCCACTGAGTCTCTCTGATCCACCCCTTTCTTGATGACTAGTTAGAAAAACAAATCTCATTAAAGGGGAAGGGGCTTTAACCACACGGTGAGCGAGGACCAACTGACTGACCAGTCATTAAACTCTAGCTGCTCAGCTAGGGTAGAACCAAGCAGCTGTGGACTACGTGAAGTCAAAGCCAAGGTTTGAGGCTGAACTTTCTAGAAGATCTTGAAGAGATCCAAGCAACCCACACATTCCCCACTGCACTCTCATGAACATCCTGAGTGGTCATACATGCTGTATCCCAGGCTGGGAGCGCTTCCCAGGTCTGGATGCTTCCGAGGTCATATATCTGCAAGCTTGTATAGCTCAGGCCTAGTTCTGAAGCCTGTCCTCTTAAGGACACTCGGCTGTCTCCTGCCTGTAAAAACACAAAGAGATCACCACGCAGATGGAGCTGTCAGTCCGTCTGTCCTGGTTGACAGTGAAGTACACTATTCTTGGGGTGTCTTATTGCTAACTATGTTAGCCATGTTTTGGTTTTTGTGGGGGGTTTTTTGTTTGTTTGTTTGTTTTTGGTGTTTTTGTTTGTTTTTGAGACAGGGTTTCTCTGTGTAGCCCTGGCTGTCTTGTAACTCGCTCCATAGATCAGGCTGGCCTTGAACTCAGAGATCCAACAGCCTCGGCCTCCGAATGCTGAGATTAAAGGCGTGTGCTACCACTACCTGTCACTAACAGTGTTTTTATCTTTGTATCTCCGTATCTCCTGAGGTGTTGATGTGATGTGGGAAGGGGCTTCTAGATGAACAACTAAACTTCCCTTCTGGAGTATTGAAGTTCTAAAGAATTAGGGATTACAGGGGCCCCTCCAGATGACACAGCAGGTAAAGGTGATTTCTGAGGGGCCTGCCAACCTGAGTTTGATCCCAGGAACCCATGTGGTACAAGGAGAGAACCAATTCACACAGTTGACCTCTGACCTGTACCTGTGCTTCTTGGCATACTTGGCATTTACACACACACACACACACACACACACACACACACACACACACACAAGAGAAAGGGGGGGAGGGAGAGAGAGAGGAAAATAAATCAGTAATTGCAGTACTAGGGAGATGTCTCAGTCATTAAGTATCTCCTGCTGCAAAGGCATGAGGACCTGAGTTTAGAACCACAGTGCCCGTGTCAAAAGTGGGCAGAATGGCACAGGTCTGTAATCCCAGCACTGGTGAGGCCAAGACAGGCAGATCCCTAGAGTCCACTGGCCAGCCAGACTAGCTCAAATGGTGAGTCCAAGGTTCAGAGGAAGACAATGGCCTTAAAAGAATGAGGAAGAAAAAGGGGAATTAGGAAGATACTGGGTTTTAACCTCTGGCCTCTGTTGGAGCCCACCAAGGTTTCCTAGTGGCTGTACCTAGCAGGACTGCATAAGAAAATGATTGGACCACGGGCCTGGGTACCAGGTGTTTGGAAGGGTCTATATTTGGTTGTATCTAGCAGGGGGAGATCTCTTTGCCTCACCCCTTGGCATTGTTATAAAAAGCCCTTTTGAATAAAGTTCTGGGCTGGTGGGTTTTGACCCAGGCCCTCCCGAGGCTATTCTGTGTTTCTGTCTTTCCTCTCATCGTCTAGGTATCTCTAGCTAAATATTTCCCACTTCTCCCTGCTCAAGAGTACCCTGGACATAAACGTGGGGGCTGGTCCCCCACAGGCCTCTATATGCCCTTGCACACTTATGCACCCACACTCCAATACACACATGTACATGTACACATACACATACACACACACTACACACACTCACACACAATTAGGAATAAGCCCATGAGTGTGCCTTTAACATGTAAATCTGTAAGTCTCAAGGCTGCAGCTGCACCTGCCCCTTATCCAACTTGTAGTTGGTTGTTTTTTTTTTTAATCTCTTGGCTCTTGGCTCTTTGGGGGCCTGCCACCCAGCTCCCAAATAAATCGCACATGGAGACTTATTACTACTTATTGTTAGCATTCTGTCCCGCCCCTTGGGGACCCGCCCAGTGTCCTCTTGTCATCTTACATAAAGTCCCCTTAAGAGAAAACCTCTCCCCCTTCTTCCCTCTTCCTCTTCTCTCTCTCTTTCTCCAGGAGGTAGTGCACACCTCCCCTCTCCCTCTTTCTCTCACTCTCTCTCCTCTCTATTCCCTCTCCCCTCCCCCTTCAATCATAAAACTTTCCACGCGGATGCTGTGTCTGCATGGTATGAGTAACTTTCCACCATGCCACGCCTCCACCTGCCACGGCTGTATGGTGTGTCTCCCTCACCCACCGGGCACCTTGGCTCAAACCCTCCAAGACCTCTTGAGAGCCATTTCACAGCACGTAGGAGTGCCTGGCCTTAACTTGGCTTGTTTCTTGCCAGCTTTTCTTAACCTAAATTTCCCATCTATCTTCTGCTTCTGTTCTTTTACCTTTCTCTATTTCTGTATATCTTTTCTTTCCTTCTTATTCTGCATCTGGCTGTGTGGCTAGGTGGCTGGCCCCTTCTTTTTTTTTTTTTTTTTTTTTTCCGTTTTTCGAGACAGGGTTTCTCTGTGTAGCTTTGCGCCTTTCCTGGGACTCGCTTGGTAGCCCAGGCTGGCCTCGAACTCACAGAGATCCACCTGGCTCTGCCTCCCGAGTGCTGGGATTAAAGGCGTGCGCCACCACCGCCCGGCAGGCTGGCCCCTTCTTATCTCACTCCTTCCTCATCTCTCCTATTTATCCTCTCTCTGCCTGCCAGCCCCGCCTATCCTTTCTCCTGCCTTGCTATTGGCTGTTCAGCTCTTTATTAGACCAATCAGGTGTTTTCAGGCAGGCAAAGTAACACAGCTTCACAGAGTTAAACAAACGCAACATAAAAGAATGCAACACATCTTTTCATCATTAAACAAATATTCTATAGCATAAACGAATGTAACATGCCAGGCAGTTTTATCCCAGCACTCAGGAGGCAGAGGCAGGTGGATCTCTGTGAGTTTGAGGCCAGCCTGGTCTACGTACAAAGCAAGTTCCAGGACAGTCAGAGCTGTTACACAGAGAAACCCTGTTTCAGGGGAAAAAAGAAAAAACAAAACAAAACAAAAAACAAACAAATCTAACACATCTTAAAATAATATTCTACAACACAACTCTGAAGCCAGTGTTTCATCTACCCTAATTCGTCCGAGGGCCAGGTACCAGCTAGCTATCACTTCC